TGGTGGCTACAATTTCTGAGCCCCTCTAGAATCCCTGCAGTACACACCGACGCACCACATGTCCGAGTTCTCTTGTACTGCCACTCACCTCCCAGCAAAGGTTTCAGTCTTCTCAGCTCTGCTAAGTTAGTTACCACTCATCTGTCCACTTTCCATCCCCCAAAATGGTGATGCCATTTCTTTTCTATTATTGTTTTTTCTTCCATTCTTCTTGTTCCTTTGAATCATTTTTTATTAAAGTTCTTTATTATCATTTCAGTCGGTTTTCAGCAAAGATGGCTGTACAATCCACTGTGTTAATGGAAAGTTCTGTATCAATCAAAGCTATTTAGGTATAATCATAGTAGCCTTCATATTTCTAGTTTTGATCCATCAGACTTGAATGGGGTAACCAAGAAGGAGCTTAAAATGTAAATAAAACTCCCAATGTAAATAAAACTCTATTATACATGACTTATGTAAAAGATTTTTTTGGTTAATCTGTACTTGACTGAAGAAAATTGCTCAACACTCAGTTTTATAACCAAGTTATTTATACTATGATCAATAATTAATCAGCCATATAAACAATCAGACTAAATAAACCACTTCCAAAAAGTTTCTTTTAAAAAAAGAATTTAGGGTTCAGTGCCTATGACTCAAGCAGCTAAGATGCCAGCCACATACACCTGAGCTGGCGGTTCGAATCCAGCCTAGGCCTGCCAAACAATAATGACAGCTGCGACCAAAAAATAGCCAGGCATTGTGGCAGGTGCCTGTAGTCCCAGCTACTTGGGAGGTGGAGGCAGGAGAATCGCTTGAGCCCAGGAGTTGGAGGTTGCTGTGAGTTGTGACGCCACGGCACTCTACCCAGGGCAACAGCTTGAGACCTTGAGATTTTTTTGTCTCAAAAAAATAAAATAAAGTAAAATTTTATACACCTAATAAAATAGGATAAGAATTTTAGGAAGATTATAGTTTATAAAGAGTTTTAAGCAATGTTTTATATTCAGCATTTCCATTATTTGTATTTAGAGAAGCTAGTCAACCAGAATTGAGAATTACCAGTGGTTCTGTGAGCTAAATAGGCCTGCTCTTACTTGAGTCTTTAAAAAAAAATTATTTCTTATTTTCAGTAACTCTGCCAAAACTATTTTTATTTTACAAATAAGAAAGCTGAGGATAGGTCACTGTGAAAAGGTCATGGAGATAGTGAGTGGTGGAGAAGAAATTCAAGCTTAGATCTTCAAGGACTTTCTTCAATAACCCAAATAAACTGTATTTCTGTTAATAATTTTGAATTGAATCAGTAATAATCATTTTAGGAGGAAGAATCTCTTACTTGAAATCAAAAGCTAAAAATGATTAAGCCTGGGTAGGAAGCCATGTCAAAAGCCAAGACAGGCTAGAAGGTAGGCCTCTTGCACCAAGCAGTTAGCTAAAGTGTGAATGCTAAGAAAATTAACAGTGCTACACGTGAATGATAAGAAAGCAAAACAGCCGGGCGGCGCCTGTGGCTCAAAAGTGTAGGGCGCTGGCCCCATATGCCAGAGGTGGCAGGTTCAACCCAGCCCGGGCCAAAAACTGCAAAAAAAAAAAGGAAAGCAAAACAGCCTGATTGCTGATAAGGGAAAAGTTTTAGTGCTCTAGGTAGAAGAGCAAACCAGCCAAAACATTCCTTAAGCCAAAATCTAATCCAGAGCAAGACCCTAACTCTCTTCAACTCCATGAAGGCTGAGAGAGGAAGCTGCAGAAGAAATACTTGAAACTAACAGAGGTTGGTTCATAATATTTAAGGAAAGATGTCATCTCAACAACATAGAAACGCAAGTGCTAATGTAGAACCTACAGCAACTTATACAGAAGATATAGCAAAAGTAACTGATGAAGGTGGCTATACTAAACAACACATTTTCAACACAGATAAAACAGCCTTCGAATGGGATAAGAATGGGATAAGATGCCATCCAGGACTTCCATAGTTAGAAAAAAGAAGTCACTGCCTGCCTTCAAGCTTCAAAGGACAGGATAACTCTCTTGTTAGGGGCTAATGCAGCTGGAGACTTCAAGCTGAAGCCAATGCTCATTTACCATTCCCAAAATCCTGGGGCCCTTAAGAATATGCCAAATCGACTCTGCCTGTGCTCTATCAGTAGAACAAAGCCTGGATGACATCACATCTGTTTATAGCATGGTTTTATGAGAATTTTAACCCCACTGTTGAGATCTACTACTCAGAAAAAGATTCCTTTCCCAGTAATTTTGTTCACTGACAATGAACCTAGTTACCAAGAAGTAATTGTGAATTTCAAGCTTTAATTCTTAAGAAAACATTTAATAAGGTAATAGCTGCCATAGATCATTATTCCCCTGATGAATCTGGGAAAAGTAAATTGAAAACATTCTGGAAAGGATTCACCATTTTAGATGCCTTAAGAGCACTCCTGATTCATGGAAGAAGGTCAAAATTATTAACATTAGGTAGCCACAGTGGCTCATGTCTATAGTCCCAACTACTTGGGAGGCCAAAGTGGAAGACTGATTGAATCTAGGAGTTTGAGGTTGCTGTGAGCTATGATTGTGCCACTGCACTCCAGTCTGAGCAACAGAGCCAGAACCTGTGCCTTAAAAAAATTTTTTTGAAAAATCAACATTACCAGAAGTTGGAAGAAACTGATTCCCACCCTGGTGGATGACTTTGTGAGGTTTAAGACTTCAGGATAGAAAGTAATTGCAGATGTGGTAGAAATAGCAAGAGAACCAGAATTAGAAATGGAGCCTGAAGATCTGATTGAATTGCTGCAATCTTATGACTAAACTTGAACAGATGAGGAGTTGCTTCTTATGGAATGAGAAAAGAAAATGGTTTCAAAAGATGTAATCTTCTCCTGGTAAAGATTCTGTGAACACTGCTGAAATAGCAGCAAAGGATTCACAACAGTACACAAACTTAGTTGACAAAGGAGGCAGGGTCTGAAAGGACTGACTCTGATTTTGAAAAGTTCTCCTGGGCGGTGCCTGTGGCTCAGTGGGTAGGGCGCCGGCCCCATATACTGAGGGTGGCAGGTTCAAACCCAATCCCGGTCAAACTGCAACAACAACAACAAAATAGCCAGGCCTTGTGGGAGGCACCTGTAGTCCCAGCTACATGGGAAGCTGAGGCAAGAGAATCATCTAAGCCCAGGAGTTGAAGGTTGCTGTGAGCTGTGAAGCCACAGCACTCTACTGAGGGTGATAAAGTGTGAGACTCTGTCTCTAAAAAACAAAAAAGAAAGAAAGTTCTCCTGTTGGTAAAATGCTATCAAACAGCATCACATGCTATAAGTAATCTTTTGTGAAAGGAAGAGTCAATCAATGTGGCAAACTTCATTTGTTGTCTTCTTTTTTTTGAGACAAGAGTCTCACTTTGTCACCTTCAGTAGAGGGCGTAGAGTCATAGCTCACGGCAACCTCAAACTCTTGGGCACAAGTGATCCTCTTGCCTCAGCCATCCAAGTAGCTGGGACTACAGGTGCCTGCCACAACACCCAGCTATTTTTAGAGAGGAGGTCTTGCTCTGGCCCAGAGTGCTAGGATTACAGGCGTGAGCCACCATGTCTGGCTCATTCATTTGTCTTATTTTTAAGAAACTGCCACAACTACCCTATCCTTCAGCAACCACCACTCTGATCAGTCAGCAGTCATACATTACACTTCACCAGCAAAATGATTATGACTTGCTAAAGGCGCAGATACTTGTTAACATTTTTTAGCAACAATATATTTTTAATTAATGTACTCTATGGTTTTTTTAAGACATGTCGTACACTTGATAAACTACACTACAGTAAAAATATAATTTTGGGGATAGTCTTACTCTGTTAGCCTGGGTAGAGTGCCATGGTGTCACAGTTCACAACAACCTCAAATTCCAAGGTTTAAGCAATCCTCTTGCTTCAGCCTCCCAAGTAGTTAAAACTACAGGTACAGGCCACAATGCCCACCTAGTTTTCCTATTTTTTAGTAGAGACGGAGTCTTGCTCTTGCTCAGGCTAGTCTCAGAAGTCTTGAGCTTGGCTTGGCGCCTGTGGCTCAAGCAGCTAGGACGCCAGCCACATACACCCGAG